GAAGCAGAGCGGGGAGGGCGAGAGCAGCAGGTCACTGCGGCGGCCATGGCTTGCACTCGGCTCGGCAGAGGCAAGCAGAGAGAGATAGGCTGAGAGAGTGAGAGAGAGCAGAGGCGAGGACAGCAGCTCGGTCCTGGCTTAATGGCGCACAAGGCAACAGACAGGCAACATGGCAAGGACGTGGGCAGGAGCAGAGCCATGTGCATCCCATTGCAGTGGACGCAAGGACAAAGCAGGCCGTGATAGGTGAAATGAACAGCTGTGAATGATGCTGAACGCTGGTTCATGAATGAGCACCAGATTGAATTCGCAGTGCGTTCTAACGAAGTTAGGCAATTTCTACGAGAGTGCCGTGACACCCATTGCCACTCTGACCTACACCGTTCTCAAGTGCTCATTTCGACGCAACTGACGGTGCAAAAACATGAAGTTGGTGCTTAGGAAATTTTGTGGATAATTAAATGTCGAAGTAGCATTGTCTATCATCTTTTCAGACTTAAAAGGAATTCAAGGTTCCAGTTAGAACTAACACTCCCTAGCACTTTTGGTTGAATTTTTAAATGGTCAAAACTTTACCAAACTTCACCAACAACCATTTCACGACATAGCACACACTTTATACCAAACAATAGAACCAAAACATCAGGGCGTTATTTAACTATTTTGCATTTTAAAAAATCGCCAAAAAGTGTACTTTCAACACAACTTCAAATTTTTGCCGATTCAACGAAAAGGGCTAATTTTAATTTCCAATTTGATTTTTGAGCTTGCAAGAACACTAATTAACAACCTTTACTTCCCAAACGTTAATGTTGCATTTTCATCTACAAAATTTGTACTTCAATTTTTATTTAAGTTCTAAATACAAGTTATGTTTTATTCTAGTTTATAGAAATCACTTTTCGTGCCAAACAATTAAAACTACTTTTCTTATTTTCTTGTTAGAATTTTCATTATCGTATTTGATTAAACTAACTCACTATACTTATAGATCTATTTCTCAGGCCATAGTCTCAGTGCTAAGCAAGCTCGTAACACCAAAGGTGTTACACCAGCCCTCAGATCCATCATTTTTTTTGAATCTGGATTTTGGTGAATTTGGAGTGTTTGGGAATTTTTTGGTGGATCCAAGCTCCTGAGTCTGAATCTGGTGATTCCAAATCGCTGCCAAACATGCCCTAAAAATGATCCTTTTTACATAGATTCACTAAACAGCGATGCAAAAGTCTTTTGTAACCCAAATCGTAGCATCTTGCGGTTCCCAACTTCCCACAAGGCAGGAGATACTTTACTCTGAAAAAAGAACCCACCCATCCTTCTCATGCTTCCTTATATATATTCGAACTAAAAAGAACAAAAAAAAGATTTAAATAATTTCAAGCTTGCATTGGTGTGTTTATTTCTGAGTTCGGAGTAACATATGACACATTCAAAATTTAATAAAGCTGATGCTTGGTAATCTATTTCAGCTTATACCGTATTAATATTAAAAAATACAACCATATATTGTGCAGAAGCCCAGGTTCAAATTCAAAACTTGACTATTTTTCTTGTGTTTACAAGACCTAACAAAGATAATCAGGCGCAGCATCTGGAACAGACATCTGCTTTTTGAAGGTGTCCTCTGTCCCGTGAAGAATTCGTTTCTTTTGCTAAAGAACGTCACATGTTCTTGATCGGCATCACTTTGGGCTAAAAAAGGCCTAATCTCTTGGATAATGACGCACCAACTAACACTGGCCTAGCTCTGCGTACGCAGTTGCTTGCTCACAGAACTACTTCTTTACTGTCTAATTGAAGTTTAATTTCGAGGATTCTCTTTTACACGTCATATTAGTTTTGTTCTAAGTCAAATATTTCTATTCTGAGCATTATTTTTTTTAAAAAATTATATATTAACAACACAAGATTTATGTTTTTAGATTCACTATAATAAATATTTTTACAATATATAGTTTACATGTTGTGAAACTACATGGATTTCAGATTGATAGTCAAAGATGAAAATATTGTTGCGCACATATATGTTAAAGCTGATATTGTTTCCCACAGAATTTTGCCATGTCCCCCCACCCGAATCATCGTTTCAATAGCACAATGTGATAGCCCAAAGGTTAATCTTAGGAGTCATCATTTTTTTTCAAAAAAAATAATAACTTATGGCTGTAACCACAGTTATTACGTTGATATAATTCATGCCTTGTTAAAAAGATGAATGATTGGAATGATCATAAAAAAAATTCCTTTAATACAAAATCTAACAAACTCATGCTTGGCTGATCATACATAGTAGATAGAGTCTGGAGTGTGGACGGTAAAAATGGACACCAGAAATATTGATGGCCATACAATACTTAGAGCAACTCAAAGAGTATTATATCATTCCTAATTAATAAAAATAGATATTTTGTTTAAAAAATACACTCAACACTTTGTTAATTAAGTCTCCAAATATAGCCATCATCTATTTCAGATTTCTCATTAGCTAAAGATGGAAAGCGGGTTTAGCTCTCTATAGTGCACACAAAATATCGTGAAGTTATTGGAGGGTGCATAGATATAGAGAGCAATTTCTATTCAAAATTACTTTCCAAATAATGATTTAAAGAATGAGTTTAACAAAGACTCCTGGAGATATTCATAGTGCCTGTTTGTTTCAGCTTTTTAGTAGTTTCTACCCGTCAGAAGCTAAAACCAATGGCCCAACTATTGAGTTGGTTTCCGAGAAGCTGGAAAGTTGAGTTTTAGAAAATAAACTAAAAGTTGAAAAATATGTTAAGAGAAGTTTTTTTTGGGGTTTGGTGTGCTGAGAAACTAAAAAATATTACAAAAGTTAATAGAAAAAGTCAAAAACTAGAAGCCAAAAACTAACTTTTGGACTTTTGATACAAAGGCCCAAAAGCTAAAAGTCAAACAAACAAGCCCACTCTTAGGGCGTCCACAACGAGGGTTCTCAATCGCCTACCGATTTGAGAATAAACAAAGGGAAAAAAAGTCCAGCCAAACAACATATACAGACGCCCTGTTCGTTTGGGCTGGTTTGGCTTATAAGTCACGGTTGAAAGTACTGTTGGCTGGTTTGGTGTGAGAGAAAAATACTGTTCGTTGGCTGATAAGCCATGGCTTATAAGGCAAATACGGCCAAACGAAACAGGCTGGGGGTGCGCAATCAGAGAGATGCTGGTGCACCGGAGATAGTGCGAGCCGAGCGACGAGTTCGTCGCTCGCTACCCAACTTTTCACATTCTCTCTATCCACATAGGCAAATAGCTAGCGAGAACAACCTTGTTGGGGACGCCCTTACTATCTCGTATGTGGTCACGTGACTTCGCATCATTTGCTATCCGAGTGGTACTACTTGATCAATATGAGTTTGGGAGAATATTGCTCAATGGATTGGGTGCCCACATGTTGAGCTGCACAAAATAGACTCATTTTTAGACAGTGCATAACTGGTAAGAGCATCTCCAGTAGCTCATCATTAATTCGTCCCCAATATGATGGTATTGGTGGTCACCAAACTGCGCTTTTGTATTATTGGAGGAATATCACAAATAATCTTTCCCAATACATGGGATCTACCTATAAGATTAGAATTTTTATTTTCTCTCTTTATTTCTTTCCTTTTCTCTCTCCAATGCAGCGTCTTCTTCCATGCCCCACACCACGTCCTCTGCAACTCAGCCATGGCGCCCCTTCTCTCCACCCCCCTCCTCCATGGACTCTGCCCACAAGATCCTCCTCCCGGGCATCGCTGCCATGGACGCTGCCTATAGCTCGTCCTCCCAGCCATGGTATCCCAACGCCACCTGTCTGTTGTTGCCTGTGACTGCGACGATGACGAGCTCGACCCTCTAAACCTCGTCACGCAATGGGGATTGAGCAGCGGGCCTGAGGAGGTGGATCTTGCATGCTTGGCGGAGGAGAGCCTCTATGCTTGGCGGCACTCTCGCCACCACCACAAGCTCCACAGGAGGATCTACGCTGCTCCAAAGCCTTATGGTGGTGGTAGTTGCGAGCGGCTTAGAGGACGACAGGCATGGCGATGTGGTGTGGGTACATATATAGCCGGGAAGAGGAAGAAGTGACAATTATTGTGGTGTCCATGCTATTGGGGGAGATGTAACTCCCCTTTTTTTAGAAGGAGATGGAGAGTTTTTTGGTAGTAGAAAAAGGAGAGCTATTGGAAAAATGTTGGAGCAAGAAAAAAAAAGACGTATCTCCCCGATATAACAGCTTTGGGAATGAAAGATGCTATTCGAGAACTACTAGAGATGCTCTAAACCTCCATTAACCACGTTGGTATGCCCAGGGAAGGTTTGCCCTCTTTGTGACTGAAAATTGTATGTGTACCATTATTTCATTAAAAGATGTTAAGTTTAGTAATATATTGTCAAAGATAGCATCTTTGTTACTCCATATTAACATATACCTATTGGGTATCTAGAGATTTGCTTTTGTTGGTTGGAGTCAATCCATCGGTGCCATCAAGTTTCAAGTCTCCCAAGATCTATGCACAACTTGGTATAACTAACTAATTAAAAACGTATGGAGCGCACATGGGAGCACTTTTCTTTTTATGATTTCCGAGTACACAGTTTAGCTTGATAAATTCGAAACTAATTTAACAGCCTTCGTAAATAAAAAATTATAAACCCGCAAGAAAAAATATATAAGGAACTATAAGAGCTACGATCTACAAATTCACCGTTCACAAACCCCGGACCCACCCAGAAGGAAAAAATGTTTGAAAATCGGCGTGCCAACCTCCGGTGGCGGTGGGGCCCACCGCCATACACCCAACGAGGCAGCCAGCGAAGAAGAGGGAGAAAGACACATCACCGCACTTCCCCTCCCCATCCCACCGCACCGCGTTCCTTCCTTCTCCCTTGCCTGTCCCGACCCGATCTCCCACCGCGTCGGGAATCGGGATCCTCCTGCCTCCTCTCCCGGCTGCCCACCGCCCGCCGGCCGCCGCCGCCGTCCCGTTCACCAGAACCATGGACGGCATCGAGGGCCTCCTGGCCCGCGACTTCGGCGTGCGGCCGCAGGGCAAGGCCACCCCCATGGCCGGGGCTTCCTCCCGCTCCACCGGATCCACCGCCGGCTCCAGCGCCGCCGCGTGGGCCAGCTACGGAAGATCCACCCTGGCCCCCTCCGCGGCGCCGTCCTACGACGACCTCTTCGGCTCCGCCGCCCCAGCCCCCGCCTCCACCGCCTCCTTCGACTCGTTCAAGAGCCCAACCACCAAGCCCGCCGCGCCTTCGCCTTCGCCTGCCCCTGCCCCCGCGTACGACGACGACATCTTCGACGCGGTCCCGGGGCTGCGGTCCTCCACCTTCTCCTCCGCCGCGCCGCGGTACGACGACGGCATGTTCGGCTCCTCGGCCGCCCCGGCGTACGACGACGTGTTCGCCACCAGCGCCCGGTCCGCGGCGCCGCCGCCGCCCGCGTACGACGACGACCTCCTCGCGGGGTTCGGGAGCGCGCCGCCGCGGGCCGCGGAGGAGAGGAGGAGGCCGGTGGCGGTCGACGACGATGACGGCGACCTGCTCGGGGCGTTCGGGAGGAGCCCGGCCGAGGAGAAGAGGAAGCCGGTGCCGGCGCGGGAGGACCGAATGGGGAGCGCGGGGTTCGATGATCTCATCCCTGGGTTCGCGGGGAGCAGCAGCCCGCCGAGGAGTAGGTGAGCAGGCTCCTGACCTTCCTACATTTGGATCTGCGTTTGGTGTGGTTGCTAGTTCAGTTAGATCAGAGCATTTGGGCAATGTGAGGGTGCATCGATTGAACTGGAATGTGCAAGCTAGATCCAATAATGTCTGCTGCTGCCTTCTACAATTGCAGAGCTTGTGCTTGTCGGTGATTAGATTGTGGAACTTTAGCTTGTGTCACAAGCTTTCGTGCATCAATTGGAACATTTGAGATAAAAGAGATCTGTATAACATAGTGAGCATGTCATGAATAGGGTCCTGTTGGAACTTGGAACTTCGAGAAGGAAGTGGAGAGATCAGTGCTCACTTGCAAGTACTATAGCAGAGACCAGAGAAAACTTCACATTTACCTGATATATATTAGACTTGTAATTGTGGCTTGGGTGGTAGTTCTTAATCTCTAGTCTTATCTTTACACATATATTTCATCTTTAATTATGTTTCCTTACACAATTGACCCAGCCACCATATGTTTGTGATGTTGAACCAACTACCTTTCTCTTTTGTGCTGTACCATAATGTTACATAGAGTAGTGTTGTATGAGAAGCGTAAGATACAATATAGATTATGCCTGCTCATGCCACTTCACCACTTGAAACTTGAAAGTATACCTATGGATTACAGAATCTGGTGACAGTTCCTCGGTATTTTCCAGAAAATCTTATGATTGTTAGAACATATTTAGAGAACACATCATAATCTGTTCAGTAGGAAATGTTGTGCCATTTGTTTCATGTTGTTAAGTAGGGCTGTACCTAGTAGTGAGAAGCTTTTTATAGGAGGAGATCTTAATAGGCACGTAGGTACTACAAGCGCAGGCTTCGAGGTAGTTCATGGAGGTTTTGGGTATGGTAGTAGGAATCAGGAGGGGGAGGAAGTTCTGGACTTCGCGGTAGCTTTTGACCTGATGATAGTCAACACTTTCTTTAGAAAGAGAGAATCTCATCTAGTGACCTTCAATAGCGGACAACACTCTAGCCAGATTGACTTTGTCCTCGCAAGAAGAAATGATAAACGAGCATGCTTGGGTTGCAAGGTGATACCAGGGGAGTGTGTTGTTTCTCAACATAAGCTTTTGGTGGCAGACTTTCGTTTTCAGGTGCGTGGTCGTAGGGATAAACAAGCTCAGATTGAAAGAACAAAGTGGTGGAAACTAAAAGGAGAGACGTCAGAGGTATTCAGGGAAAGGGTTATCAAAGAGGGCTTTTGGAAGGAAGAAGAGGACATAAACAACATTTGGGAGAAGATGGCAACCAACATTCGGAAGGTGGTCTCAGAGGTGTGTGGAGTAACCAAAGGAAGTGGAGGCGAGGCTAAAGATACTTGGTGGTGGAACGAGGAAGTCCAAAGGGCTATTAAGGAGAAGAAAGAATGCTATAGACGTTTGTACCATGACAAGAGTGTGGACAACATAGAGAAGTACAAGGTGACAAAGAATATTGCAAAGCGAGCTGTAAGTGTGGCAAAAGGGTAGAGTGTACGAGTATCTTTACCAACATTTGAGTACGAAGGAAGGATAGAAGGACATTTATAGGATGGTTAGGGTTCGTGAGAGAAAGACAAGGGACTTGAACCAAGTTAAGTGCATTAAGGATGAAAGGGAGTATCTCTTGGTGAAGGAGGATGAGATCCGACATCGATGGCAAGAGTATTTTGACAAATTGTTCAATGGTGAGAATATGGACACAACCTTTTAGTTAGGTGACTCTTTTGATGACACGAATAGGCGCTTTGCGCGGAGAATCAAGAATCTGAGGTCAGAGAGGCGTTGAAAAGGATGAAAGGAGGTAAGGCAATGGGACCGGATGGTATCCCAATCGAGGTGTGGAGATGCCTCGGGGACATAGCTATAGTATGGTTAACCAAGCTGTTCAACCATATTTTTCAATCGAACAAGATGTCTGACGAGTGGAGAAGTATATTGTTACTGATCTACAAGAATAAAGGGGATATTCAAAGTTGTACTAATTACCGGGGAAATAAGTTGATGAGCCATACTATGAAGCTATGGGAGAGAGTTATCGAGCATCGCTTGAGAGCAATAACGCGGGTCTCTATGAACCAATTTGGTTTCATGCCCGGAAGATTAACCATGGAATCCATTTTCTTAATAAGACAAGTTATGGAGCGGTATAGGGAGAAGAAGAAGGATCTACACATGGTTTTTATTGACTTGGAGAAGGCTTATGATAAAATACTAAGGAATGTTATGTAGTGGGCTTTGGACAAACATAAAGTCCCAACGAAGTACGTCGGGCTCATTAAGGACATGTACAACAATGTTGTGACTAGAGTTCGAACAAGTGATGGAGACACGGATGACTTCCCGATTAAGATAGGGCTACATCAAGGGTCAGCTTTGAGCCCTTATTTGTTTGCCTTAGTGATGGATGAGGTCATAAGGGACATACAAGGGGACATCCCTTGGTGTATGCTTTTCGTGAACGATGTAGTGTTAGTTGATGAAAGCCGGACAGAAGTGAATCAGAAACTGGAGTTATGGCGGGAGACTTTGGAGTCCAAAGGTTTTAGACTCAGTAGAACTAAAACTGAGTATATGAGATGTGACTTCGGCACTACTACTCGGGAGGAGGAAGATATTAGTTTGGAAGGTCAAGTAGTGCCTAGGAAGGATACCTTTCGATATTTATGATCAATGCTATAGAGATACGGGGATATTGATGAAGATGTTAGCCATAGAATCAAAGCAGGGTGGATGAAGTGGCGGCAAGCATCTGGTGTCCTATGTGACAAAAGGGTACCACATAAGCTAAAGGGCAAGTTTTATAGGACACCGATTAGACCTGCTATGTTGTATGGTGCAGAATGTTGGCCTACAAAAAGACGACATGTTCAGCAGATAAGTGTCACGGAAATACGTATGTTGCGTTGGATTTGCGGTCATACAAGAAGGGATCGAGTTCGGAGCGATGATATATGTGATAGATTAGGGGTAGCACCAATTGAAGAAAAACTTATCCAACACCGGTTGAGATGGTTTGGACATGTGCAACGGAGTCCTCCAGAGGCATCGGTGCGTAGTGGAATCCTAAGCCAGGATAGTAACGTGAAGAGAAGCAGAGTAAGACCGAAGTTGACTTGGGTTGAGGCAATAAAAGGAGACTTGAAAGGATGGAATATATCCAAAGACTTAGCCTTAGATAGGAGTACTTGGAAGACAGCTATTCACATGCCTGAACCTTGATTGCTTCTGCTGGGTTTCAACTCTAGCCTACCCCCAACTTGTTTGGGACTTAAAGGCTTTGTTGTTGTTGTTGTAGAACTAAAACCGAGTATATGAGATGTGATTTCGGCACTACTACTCGGGAGGAGGAAGATATTAGTTTGGAAGGTCAAGTAGTGCCTAGGAAGGATACCTTTCGATATTTAGGATCAATGCTATAGAGAGACAGGGATATTGATGAAGATGTTAGCCATATGATCAAAGCAGGGTGGATGAAGTGGCGCTAAGCATCTGGTGTCCTATGTGACAAAAGGATACCATAGAAACGAAAAGGCAAGTTTTATAGGACGACGATTAGACCTGCTATGTTGTATGGTGCAGAATGTTGGTCTACGAAAAGACGACATGTTCAATAGATAAGTGACGCGGAAATGCGTATGTTGCGTTGGATTTGCGGTCATACAAGAAGGGATAGAGTTCGGAACGATGATATACATGATAGATTAGGGATAACACCAATTGAAGAAAAGCTTGTCCAACACCGGTTGAGATGGTTTGGACATGTCCAACGGAGACCTCCAGAGGCACTGGTGCGTAGTGGAATCCTAAGTCAGGATAGTAACGTGAAGAGTGACAGAGGAAGACCGAAGTTGACTTGGGTAGAGGCAATAAAAGAAGACTTGAAAGGATGGAATATACCTAAAGACTTAGCCTTAGATATGAGTGCTTGGGAAACAGCTATTCACATGCCTGAACCTTGATTGCTTCTGCTGGGTTTCAACTCTAGCCTACCCCAACTTGTTTGGGACTTAAAAAGCTTTGTTGTTGTTGTTGTGGTGTTAAGTAGGGCTGTATAAGCCATTAAGCCCAGCATACCCTGGGTTTTCCCATATTTCGCCCACTAACTCTCTTTTGTATTTACATATCCATGGAAGTATTGAATATGGTGTGGTACTGTGCTGTTGTGGATATCACCACTAACTTGCCAGGTTTATTCAAATAGTAGCTCATTTCTTCAAAATCCTATCAGTAATTCGTTTTACTCCTGACAATTTCTTATGCTCACTATATTTTTCAGGAAGTCTAATGACGATAACAAAATGAAGCCACCAATTCCAACTTCTAAACAGACAGCTAGCATGGCAGATGACCCATTCGTTGTTCTAGAAACAGCCTCTGCTTCAGGCTCTTCATATACATCCCCAGGGAGATCCACAGATCCCATGGACAATCTGGATAAGTCTGCAAGCATTGATGGCAAAGCTGCCAATAATACTGCTGATGATGATAGTTTATTTGAGGAATCAAGTGCTTTTGACCAGGCTCCAAAATCAGATCCTTTGTTTACATCTGAACTCAATGGTCATGCCAAGGACACAAACCCGCCAAATGTAGTACGAGATTCCAGTCCTCTACACCATTCAATGGACAGAAATCCAGCACGTCAATCTTCTATGGAAGACTTTGGTAACGTCATGCCCAAGTCACAGTCTGCAAGGTATTCTGACATTCGTGGTAATGATATGGAGGATCAGTCACCAAGATCTACTGAATCTGAAGATGATATATGGCTTACAGTTTCTGAGATTCCCCTTTTCACAGCGCCAACTACTGCTCCACCACCCTCCAGATCACCACCTCTTCTTAAACGAAAGCCACTGGGAGCAAATGGAAATGGAAAGGAGAATGGGCATGCTCGTCACTCTAGCCAAAATCACAACCATTACACAGATTTGCCAAAGCAACCAGAGGTTTCTTCAATAGATGACCTGGAAGGTTTTGCCATGGGCAAACCTCAAACGCCTGCTTATGACAACAATGTTTTTGATGAAGACTTTGAAAGAAGCTCATCAGATCCTGAGGAGAAAGACAGACAAGAAAGATTGGAGAAAGAAAGGGAAATGAAGCAGAGGGAGGAAATGGAGAGAGAGCGTAGAAGGCTTGAAAAGGAGAGGGAGTTGGAACAACAGAGACAAAGGGAGAGAGAACGACAGGCAGTGGAGAGGGCTACAAAGGAGGCACGGGAGAGAGCAGCTGCTGAAGCTCGTGCAAAAGCTGAAAGAGAGGCACGCCAGCGTGCACAGCGTGCTGCTGTGCAAAGGGCTCAACAGGAAGCCCGTGAGAGGGCTGCAGTTGAGGCGAAAGAAAGAGCAGCTAGGGTAGCTGCAGAAGCAAGGGAGAGAGCCGCTGCAGAAGCAAGGGAGAAGGCAGCTGCAGAAGCCAAGGAGAAGGCAGCTGCTGAAGCCAAGGAGAGGGAGCGGACTGCTGCTAGGGAGAGGGCTGCAGCAGAAAGAGCTGCTGCTGAGAGAGCTCAGCAAGAAGCAAGGAAGAGAGCTGAACGAGCTGCAGTGGAAAGAGCTGCTGTTGAGGCTCGAGAAAGGCAGGCAGCTGCAGCTGCCGCCGCCGCAGCTGCTGCTTCAAGAGAAAAGCAGAGCACACCAGATGATCTTGAGTCATTCTTCGGTGTAGGTGCTCGTGCCAACAGTGCACAAAAGCAGAGGGCTCCAACACCTACAGTGGTAATTATATCTGTCAAAATATTCACATAAAAATGATTGTGCGCAGGTCAGTCTGTTACCTTTTGCTAAAATTGGATTTTATAGGATTCTATGTTTGGTTTTGGAGCTCAAGGCACAGGAACCACTAATGGATCACAGAGAGCAGCATCAACTTCGGCTCCTGTGAGAAAAGTGGCGTCAGCCACAAGTTTTGGCGATGATCTGTCTGACTTATTTGGAGGTATTAGATTATTAAGTCTTCCCAAAGTAGCATTAATTTTATGGTTTTAAGTTTCTGCTGATGTTGTGCTCCTAATTTACTGCCATACTTGTCTGTAATCCATTATTTTTTCTTTTGTATTTCCAGCTCCTGCATCTTCTGACGTATTTCAAGAAGTTGAGGGAGAAAGTGAAGAAAGAAGACGTGCTAGGTTAGAACGTCAGCAGAGGACTCGTGAACGAGCGGTAATGTTCTGTAATTTCAGAATACAAACAAAAAATGTTCACTATCACCTGTGCAATAAGTGTATTGCCTATGGTCTAGCTTATTCCTATGCTGTATAAGTCTACCTCTCCCTGTTATTACAAAGAAACAATAGCTATTCCATTCTCACTTCTGGTTGTTTATTATATCTCCAGGCTAAAGCTCTGGCTGAGAAGAATGAACGAGATATGCAAGTACAGAGGGAGCAGGCAGAGAGAGATGTATGTGCTAATTCTTTTCATATCTGGATCAGCTTGATTATGCTTATTTTAGTTCAAGGCAACACTCAGCAGTCCACATTATGTAAAATTGTTTTCACCTTTTCATAATCTTATCATCATATTTTTAGTCAGTGATCACAGCATGCCTTGGCCCTTTAGCTACACTTGCTTGGTTGCTAATAGACCACTTGTTTGTTTGGGAATTCTGAATTACAGAGAATTGGAGACACTCTAGACTTCGAAATTAAGAGGTGGTCTGCTGGGAAAGAGGGCAACTTGCGTGCTTTGTTATCAACTTTACAATATGTGAGTGGCTGATACTTTTGCTACTAGAGTGTGAAGATAAGCTGCATGTGTTTTTGTGCAGTTGTATGTTCTTTTGGGCACTCTCTTTTTTTTTTGTTATGTAAACATGCTCGATGTTTTCTTTTGTTCTATAAATACCATTGTTACTTTGACCTCCTTTTTTGGTTGTGGTTTACTTAGCATTCTTTTGGTATTAGGTATACTCAATATGACCAGATGGTCCTCTGACTAAAATGGTACTATTATTTATTTTTTGTTGAGCCAACCTAATTCATGTCTTGATTTTGATTCAAGACCAACACATGGGGACTGGGTTTGGCTTTCTGGGGGTTTTCCTTTTGGTTAATGCTGTTGGCGGCTTGATATAACTTTTTGATGGTCTACATTACAATGATAAATTTGGTGAATTTTCCTAACTTTTACCTGATAGCAATTCATTTATCTGTTTCATTTGTCAGTAGTTTATTTGAACTCTGTCAGGATGCAAGTCTGGTAAATCTAACATTAAATGGCAAGCGCTCTGAAAAAATGAATTAATGAATGCCACATTGTCAGAAGGGTCATAAACGTATTCCATTTACTAATATATACCTTCTTCTGAAACAGATACTTTGGGCAGAATGTGGATGGCAAGCTGTATCCTTGACTGATTTGATTACTGGAGCTGCTGTTAAGAAGCAGTACAGAAAGGCGACACTATGCATTCATCCTGATAAGGTTCAGCAGAAGGGCGCAACACTTCAGCAGAAATATATTGCCGAAAAAGTCTTTGACATTCTCAAGGTACGTGTTCAACTTCTTTGGCAACATTTAATAGTATAAAAGAGCCAAGTACAAATTCATTTGTATAGGAGAATTATACTTACTGTGATATCATAGGGTCATTGGAACCGCTTGTGTTAACAACTTAACAAGAGTGTTTTGGCATGCATGGCGGTTCCTGAAATAATTTAGCATTGGATTTACCATTCGTGATTAGGCAGTTCTTGAAATAATTTAGCAGTGGATTTACCATTCGTGATTAGGAGGGGTTAATGTCATTCCATGATAAGTTGTGCATTTGTGACCAAGTTCTGGGAGTCCAGTTCTTACATCTGTGGTTCACATCACTGTTGGTTAGTGTCAATAGCCAATCGCATTGTTGATTCCTATTATCTGACATTTTCAAGTTTAAGTAGAATTTTGCACCTTTTGTATTAACAGGAGGCATGGAACAAATTCAACTCTGAAGAGCTCTTTTGAAGCAATCTCTGTGAATATAAATATATGGACAGCTTAACTGTAAAACCTGGCAGAGTGGCAAAGGCACAGATGAACAAAGTGAAAGCTCCACTACGATTACCTTCTTTTAACAGATGCTGTTCAGCTGCTCCTCCCTTTGGCCACTGTGTTCTTGCCCTGATCTCCATGGTACTTCCGTTCCACATCTATGTATATGTAGCCTTCTGTTCATTCGATGGCTAATGGCATGTCGGCTTTTTGAAGATAGTTTGTTCAGGGTGATTTGGCCCACATTGTATGTCTTAATACTATTTTGTGTACAACGGACCACAGAAATTCAAACTACACTTGCTGTCTAGCCTTGTTGATTTCTACAATTTCTACAAAAAGGGATGTACAATGTACAGATTGTACCATAGTTGATTTGAAATGTGATTTGGTTTACTTAACATGTATCTCCAATATCCAACTTACCCAAGACTAGTTCCAAAATAGACAATGTATTATGTATCCATGTCATATGATGCCTCTGCGCTTCTGCAGTGTGCACCATCTATTGCTGCTTGTTCCCAATTCTCGTTCCCCATTTTCTTTCTTTTTTTGGGACTAAATTTGGTAACTTTGTGTACTAACAGTTCAGTTTCCATGAGCCATGAGAATCCGGGTTCCGTTCAGCGTGAATCTGAGACGGGCACACGATAGCGGCGGCTCTACCCGACGACCAGTGCAACGGCCTCGTCCTGTACCGGGACCGGAACGAGTGAGAGGCCGGTGACCCTGCCGTGTCGCCGCACTACCAGGTGCTGCTGGCGCCCCACGAGCCGGCCGGAGAGGGAGAAAGTGGAGAGCAGCGACGCGTAACGCTACCGCCTCACGCACACCCTGGCGGTGGCGGTATTTTCCCAAAGTTTCACCTATCAACTAGCACAGAGAGCGTTTTTAAGAAACCGCCAGTGTCAAAGGCTAGCGAAAATTAGCGAACTCCACTAGAGACACTTAAGACCCGCCTGTGTAAATTTACACTAGCAAGTGTAAATGATTTTCTAAATTTTGCAAATTGGGCTAAACAAATTGTATTTTTTTAACTCGGGGAAGCCCCCACCAGGCAGCTTGCTAGGTCATGCATTTTTTTCGCACGGGGTACGCTAAGTCATGTGTGTTTTCGCATGAGGTACGCGTGTGTGCGGTTTCTAGGAATCAAACTCGCAACATTAGACATTGCGTGTTACTCTTTTTATCACTTCACACTCAGTTGTGACTAACTAGTAGATACATTCCTTTTGTATTCACTCTATTGAATATTTGTGGTTCTAAATGAATTGAAATGACAAACGTTTCATCTATAAAGTTTTTTTAGATCTCGTCGAGATCTACAAATTTACTTTTGGTCAATTTTTTCCATCTAAGATCATTTGAAAAAACTAAAAAAATATAAATGTCAAAATCATTGATTTTAAAACATAATTTATGGGCCTTAAATGAATTCAAAGATAAATTAGTGAACTATAAAGTTGTAGATCTTTTCAAGTAGTACAACTTTGTTTAGATCATTTCTCCTTCCGAGATGTTTGATTTTTTTTTAAAATGATTTCAAATGATTTGTACAGGCGTTAGGTTCAGAAAACCGCTATTGCAAATACATTTTGACTAGCGATTTTTTTAAGACCACCATCAGTATAAATCATGTATCTATACTAGTGGTTCTCTTAAAGATGCCACCAATATAAAACGGATTTACACTAGCGGTAGGTTAAGAGAACCACCATTGTAAACATATGGATTTTACTAAGAGTAATCTTAAAAAAAAACTGTCCGTAAATATGTATTTACAGTTTTACACTGGCGGTTCAATTAATAGCCACACTCACGCCTATCAATGAAGGCACAGGAGCCTTGTGACGCACACCCGCAACTATTTTCCTTTTGTCCCTTATTTCTAGTATGTGATGAATTAGAGATAAGTGAAACCATTTGAGCTCCGCGCTGCCCACACACGGGCGGCTCGGGGCGAACCCTAGCCGGCCGCTGCCGCCTCTCCCCTCCTCATATACATCTCGCCGCTGCCGAAGTGCACCGCCCCGAAAACCGGGCGACAAGAGAGGATGGCGGCGGCGGGGCCACACTCGGGTGACGTTGCGCCTCTGGCATGGTGGAGGAGGCGTGAAGCCTGGGAAGACGGAGGGCGGCGCTGGCGCTCTCCGGTGTGAGGCGGTAGATCCAGCACCGCCCCGACCAGATCCAGTCCTCCCGTGGCCAAATCTGGCGCCCTCCGCTCGGTTCTGGCCGGAAAGCTACCGGCGCGGGCGACTGGGGCAGGGACGGTGCGGCACGGCGGGAGGCCATGGACGGCGTGAGGTGCCGGTAGCTGCGCAAGACGACGCCGACGGCGTTAGCAGCAGAGCAGGATGGCACCATCGGGTGTGGGGGTCGGCGCGGCCCGCGTCATCACCTTTTAGGTGACCTGGGGGTGTCTCGACGCCGCCGCCGCAAACTCCATCGCTGTTGTGGCTTTCCAACGTGCGGCAGTGGCGGCAAGCGGCAGCGCCTTGCTCGCGCATCCCCATCCTTCCTCTCCTTCTCCCCTCCTTCACTGGATGTTCTGCAAAGGGACCTGGGTGCACGGTTTGGCCACGTGCTTGCTGGTAGCAGGGCTACGTGCCCATGGGTGTCCCCTTCACCGGATCGGGCGACCTCACGTCTCGATCTTGCGGAGCCGCTGCTGTGGACGCGGTGTTCTTCTACGTGTGCGTGCACGGTGCGCGCAGTTTGGCCGCAGGCGTGTCGACGGTGGGGCTGAGTGCCATGGGCGCCCTCCCTGCCGCTCTCTCTGTCCGTCTTCGGCAGATGAGGGCCTACTTTGCCTCTTGACGGGCAGGGCTGAGCACCGTTTGGGCACAGCATGATGTCGTCGTGTCGCTGTGGCGGGACGCTGTTGGGCGTTAGCTGCAACACAAGGGAAATTGTTGTCTTGTCGCGCCCGTGGGTTCAGGCCGAAAGCTCTGCTCGGATATAGGCTGGCCAGAGACTCCCTCGGGCGGAATGTCCGTCTTCGGCAGATGAGGGCCTACTTACGTTTTGGCCCCATTCACCTCCCTAGAGCCGCTTTGGTGACGGGTATTTGTGGTTATGCCACTTTTCGCCCTTGTGCTGGGCGTGTTGTTGTTGTTGTTTCTTTTTCTTGGATATGCCACGATTTCGCCCTTGTGCTGGGCTCCTGATCCTAGTTTAGTTAGGTATTGGTTTTAGTCTTGTTTTTCTGAAATTCCTGTTTTGTCTCGCGGTGTCGGTGACATGTGTGGTTAGAAACGTTGTCCGATTCCAATATGTATTGTGTAACGTTAGTCTCTTGTTTGTACAATATGCATTATGATCAAAACATATAAGTATCCCGGAAATTGTTGTCTTGTCAGCGGGAGGTTTGGCGTGGGTTCAGGACGAAAGCTCTGCTCGTCGCGTGGCGTCTGCACGGCATGGCGCAACCTCATCGATGAGCGCCAGCTGCTGCTCCGGTTACTCCTCCCGCACTCGGTAGGTCCTACTTCTTGTCCCGGCCTCTTCATCAACTACCAGGACTACGGCAGGTCCTACTTCTTGTCCCGGCCGACGTCGACGTCGGCGCCGGAGGACTTCGGCCCCCGCCGGATTGACGGCAAGTTAGATTTCATCGAGCGAGAAGACCCCTACAGCTGGTACGAAGTCGTGGATCACTGCAATGGCCTCGTCCTTTTCCTGGAGAGCCATGGCAAGGTGCTGCACGTGTGCAATCCCACCACGCGGTGGTCGGCGCGCCTGCCACCGTGCCCTCCTGGCGCCGCCTTTTACTACACTGATTCGACCTGGGGCTGCCGTGTGTTCCTCGTGTTCGACCCTTTTGTGTCGCCGGAGTACAAGGTGCTGTTGACCCCCGCGGAGCCAGGAAGGAAGCAGATGGAGAACGATGATGCATGCCGCCTGATGGAGTGGCCACCGTGGGCATGGACGACGTGGCACCAGTTCTCGTCGAGCACCGGGAGGTGGGAGGAGAAGGTGTTCGTCCGGGAAGGCGACGCTACCACAGAAACGTTTTCAGGGGCAGCTCGTAACCTTTGTAGGGGCGGTTTGGCCAGCCGCCTCTATCAAACCGTCTCTACATATCATGTATTTGTAGGGGCGATTCTCAGGCCGTCCCTACAAATCGATTTGTAGGAGCGGCTGTAGTACCAGCCGCCCTATAATACCTATTTGTAGGGGGCGGTTCAGTATAGAACCGTCCCTATAGATGTTTTTTCCGTAAAAAAAATTTAAATTTACAATTCAAATTCGACTAGAACACTGTTTGTTCCCGCGTATTCCATCCAACGTTCGCGTTGCCGAACGTCCCGCGACCAACGTGAGCGAGGAAAGCGAGATAATCCCGCCGAACGCCCCGCGACCAACGTTCCGAACCGCATTCGCTCAAGAGTATTATATAAACTATAATTACAAGTCCAATTCACAAGAATATGTACAATCCATCATTAAATAGACATAATTCAAAAGGTAAAACCAATGTCAAATTCCATACACATTGTTATCAACGTCCTAGAGCTAGCCTTTCAGTCTCACGAAGATGTTGGTACTGAGGATTTCTACCTAAGTCAGACTCTCGGTCATGGTAGGTGCCTTTGACGTGTACAATCTAATCCAATATGAAGTTGCAAAGGTCGCCGACGAGCTCTAAGAGTTGGTCATCCTTGTATGGGTCTCTTTTCATTTTTTTTCTCTTCTTTCCACTACAAGAGAACAAGTTTCGATTTAGTATTTCATACCATGTACGAAGTTTTTATACTACGTGTGAAGAGGTTCAAACTTACCCTTAAGGGATGTCTCCTGTAGGCACCTGTGTTACTCATCATAGAACATATATAGTATCCACAATTTACACTCCCAGGCTTCTGCTTGGGGCACTGTGTGTTTTGCATATGAAAATGTTAAGTAATGCTTTTGACAGCCATGTAATGGAGTACTGAAGAAGTAAGTTACACTTACTGCATATAGTGTTT